ACAACGACATTAGGCAGGGGGAGGGCGGGGAGAAGCCCCCTGTGGGAGCTCTGCCGGGGGCTTGTGGGTGCCCTGAGGCAGTCCCCGGGAGCAGCGCGTCGCGCTGCTGCTACCCTGACCGCAGGGCTGCTGGCTAAAATCGGAGTGCCGACAGCGGGGGGGTCCTGCAGGTCTGCTCCGAAACGCTGGAGCTCTCCGGTCAGCCTCTTGTTGCTGCTTACCAGGTGGCACGGGAACGGTGTGGGGGTCTTGTGTTCAGTGTTTAATGCTACATAGGGGTGTGGACGTGGCACTTCGGGACGTGGCTTAGCAGGTGTGGTGGGGGTGGGTTGACACTTGATCATCTTAGAGGTCTTTTCCGACCTTAATTTTTATGAATGCACACAAAAGAGATTCCTAACTGCAGTCCCATACCGCTCCGTAAAAGATACAGCAGGGGAGAAAGCCATCACGTCCTGCTTTGGCTAATCTCTTAATATGTTTTGAAACGCTGCAGGCGTATCTTGTCCGAGTGGCCTGTGCTGCATCCCCGAGTTGTTTGATTTTCTTCCAGCGGGGCTGCGCTGAGCGCGAGGTGCGATGGCTGTGCAGATGCAGTTTGAAGCAAATGCCGACACATCAGCAGAGGAAGAGAGCTTCGGACCACAGCTCATATCTAGGCTGGAGGTAGGTGAGGAGTTAGCTCTAGAGTGAGCTTTCAAGAAACCCTTCTGGTCTTTTTCCTGAAGCAGAAGTTGTATCTGAAGACTGTGTTGCTACATTCTTACTTGTGTTCTGTCAAAAAAAAAACCAAAACAAACCATAAAACTCAGCTTGCTAACAGTTATGTTTTATGTTACGTGGCCTTGCTGTGTACCCTTTCCTAACCTGTGCTGGTCACCCCCAGCATCTATTAAACCAACCAGAGAATGGTATCTGCCACCTGTTCTTTGTCACCTATAGAATTAATAGCTTATGCAAACATTGCACTGATAAAAGGGTATTTTATGGTTCTTTGTGTGTAAGTGAGTAGGGAGGTAACACTCAATATGCTGACTTGTAATGGCAGAGTTTGATCCAAATCTGATGGAGCCAAGTGAAGGTATTCAGTGGAAGTTAGGTTAAGGTATTTGTGTCTGAAGTGTGTCCTTTTTTTCTCCTGTGCCTTTCAGCAATGTGGTATAA